ATGAATAATAGAATACTATATTTAGACAAGCCTTCTGTATATAGGAACCTATTCTAAAGACTTTCTCAGTGACTAACTACTTTTTCCAAGGTTCCTAGTTAACTAATCAGTAGGGTTGGAGTGAGTAGAGATGTAATCTAACTCTATCGTACCCTGCTGGACACAGTCACGGATATAATGGTGACGAATGTCGATATGTTTGAGGCCATTGGGGGTTCCGACCCCGAGTGCGATATCTATCGCACTCTGGTTATCGATATAGAGTCGGGTGGGGAGCGCCAAAGAATACCTGAGAGCACACATATTAATACGGATCCATGCAATTGCTGTAGTAATCTTTGAACCCGGGATGTACTCGCCTCCTCAGAGCTGATGGATACTGTTTTCTGCATAATCGAGCGCCCGTAGATGGGCGTGTGATTAAAACAGATCAGGGTTCCAGTATGGGATTTGCGAGTGGTGGGGCACAATGCCCAGTCACTATTGCTATACGAAAGGAGAGCGCTGTCGAGGGATTGCTCAGGAGCTTTGAGACGATAGGCAAGAGCAAAGGTGACCGTGCCGGTTCGTGTAACGCGAAGGCCGACGACATGCTTGGCCAAGCCGAGGTTTATCATACTGTAATATTGACACAAGCGGAGATAAAGCCAGGGAACGTACTGAGAGTTAGGGTTGGGGGTAGGTAAAATTTCGGCGATGTCTATAACTACGACAATATCCAGAGTGCGATGGAGCCAGATACATTTATCGGCTTCGGACAGGATAAAATCCGCCGCACGCAACTTGGAAGAGCCGTCAGTCTGCTTGAGGCCGTAGAGGCCTCGGTTGAGGTGTAACTCATGGTCAGCCAGGTGGTGATCAAGCTCGACTGAACCTTTCGTGGGGTACATGTAAACTGGGACTTCCAATTAATGTACATGTAGGTGATATCGAAGTGGTCCACCTCTTTGCCCGGGAATTCTGTCGTAGCGAAAATCGAAAGGCTGCCGCAGGGGCAACAAGAGCGTATGTGTGCTAGTAGCTGTCGCCGTGGTGTTGTTCATCACCGAGGGCGACAAGACGTGCTTTGAAACGAGTAAGGTGACCGTGTTTATTCTCGCGTTCAATATGAATAGTCTGGAGCCAGTTGGCCTTGGCGGGTGATTTGATGGCCGCAGCAATCTATTTTTGGGACGTTAAGGTCGTACATGGCGGCGGCGTCGTCGGAGGTGAGTTCGGGTCGATCAGTCGATTGTATAGGGATAATCTTATTTATTTCAAAAATGGCAAGTATGTATGATGTATGAACATATGGTATGGCTCTCATAGTCGCTGTAGTGGTTCAGGAAAGATTGATGGGAAGAAGTGGTCAGTAAATTCCCGTTTGAAGCTTGGGCTAAGTGAGTCGACAATGGAAGTAGTGCGGACCGTTGGGATCATCGAAGGGTATTGACCAAGGAATCGGACGGATTCGGCAGCAGTCTCGAGCGTGGGAGGCTGGTGATGGAATGTCATAGTGAGGGGAGACATACGGTCCCGGTGGAGGGTGTAAAAATACGGCCTCTGGTCAGTAAAATATCAAGATCAAATGAAATAGCACATTGGATATTATTTGTATTTAAAATATTCGAATACGAGTTCTTTTCCCAATATTTCCAAAGTTTATATAATCTCTGAACTTCATACTACTTACAGATTTTGGTCTTTCCGCCAATCTCCAAAGTCCAATGTATCTTTTATTATTATTATTAACCTTTCTTCAGATGGAACTTTATTTATATTAGCTAATGTATTAACATGACTTACATTCGTATGTCTATCTACAAATTAGGCATGTGGTCATGAACACTTAGTACTTCTAGTGAAATTATAGAGGTACATCCTGTGTGATCGAGAATATTAAGGCTCTTACCAAGAGACAGTCCCGATCATTCTTACACAAGCTACCACTGCTAAATCCTAACTGACTTGAATTTTATCTTAGTCTATTTAACATAATTTGAAACATAGTAATATCCATCGAAATTTACACAGCCACGTGGGGAGTGGTAGTGGGAGTAAGCACGCTTGTGAGGTCATCGTAGCAAAAATAGTAGGTACTATTGAGGCGAGGAATGGTAAATTGGGAGGTGTTGTAGGAGG